AGAGATCTTGAAAAGAATAGAATTCAGACTTAATTACATGCATTCTCTATTATCTTCTTGTTTATTGTAAGCAAGCAAAGATTTAGATCTGTATCCACTCAGTCTGAAATGATGGGCAACTTCAACTCCCTGATGCCTTTGTGCTGGTCACCTTGGGGAGCCCAAGGAATGAGGGATTCCCAGGCACCACCGAGATACAGCAGCAAGCTGAATTCAGACACAGCTGAACACTAGCATAAAGTCTTTGGAAAAATGGCCAATATGCACCCACCATCCACAGTTAAAAACCTACCCATTGGAACCAGTCACCTGGTGATAAGTAAAAAACTCCAGAGCTGCCAATTCAGTCTTGGGGGGAGCACCCATGAAAGAATAAACAAACCATCCTGCAAAGAAAATGCAGCCAAAAGGGTGTCATGGGAAGGGTATAGAATATACCTTGGGGTGTATTTATGGTATCATTTTTCATTTGTCATTTTTTCCTATCCAATAGTAGCCTGGTGTGTAGAAGGGTGGTGCAAACTAACCCACATTGCAATCTAACTTTGATAGCTAATTAAGGATGGAAATCAGCTGAACAGAGCTGGGAAAAACAGACAGTGGGTTTCACTTTCCAAAGGCAGGGTTAGCATGAGCCCAGGTCCCACCTGACAAAAACTACAGGATTTCAGGAGCAGCTGGGGTGATGGATCTCGTTCTGCACTGTTACAGGTAGGAGGTAGGGACTGGTCTGATCAAAGTTCAGGCCTCCTTCTTTTCTGTGATCAAACCCTGAACTGTGCCTGTGCAATCCACAACACGCTCTGGAGAGTGGTAGGAAATTAGAGCTGCCTTCAGAAGATGTGTGGAAATGTGACATGTTGCCAGCAACCCATACGTCACCCTGTTCTTTGAGTCCATGGACAGATCATGTAGAGCTCTCCTTTAAAAAAATAATTAAAAAAAAGCAACCCAACAACTCCCTGACTTTGGCATGACTGCTTTCCTTTTTTTGGTAAACATTCCTATTGCCCCCCCAGGGAGTCCGCAGTTGTACCACTGAAGACAGAACTGGAATGCAACCCCTTTTCCACACGGAGAGGCACTGATGAAGGCTCTTTCTACTCTATATGGGCTTGAAAGAGTCACTGCTCCAGGAGTGTCCTGCTGTACGCTTCTCACAGCTACGCTCTTGCTGCATCCTTGCTGGTATGACAACAGGGCAAAGGTGCTTCAGGATTAATTCACACACTCCCTCATTTCTCAGAGCCATCACATTAAGCATTTGCAAAAGTAGTAGAAATAAACAAAAGTGATCTGTGGCTGGGATTTTCCCATTTGTGGTTTGATAAGTAGAGAAGAAAACAGGTGCCTTCCAGCCACAGTAGATCTGTTCTTTTGTTTACTATCGGCTCCCAATTCCTTCCTTCTCCCAACTGATGCTGCCTCTTCATTGCTGCACTCTGGAGTCCTTCACTGAGCCAGTGTAAGAGAAGAGAGGAGAAGAGGCCTAGCTTGACTGTAGCTCACAGAAAGGGGAAAATCACCATTTGGCTTGTGTTGGCAGCAAGTGCTATGTAAGCCCTCCCTCCAAAAACTGGCTGAGCAAAATGCTTGGAAGTGGATCACAAAAGCAGCCATGCCCAAGCCAGCTGCCATCTATTCTGCTTGCCCTGGGGTGACCACTGGGGTACAACAAACACATGGCTTTAATGCATTCTGGTATAAGATTCATACCAAACAGAGAGGCAGAAAATGGCAAAGGCTCTGAGACGGCAAAGTAAAGTTGGGTGGTAGAGAGGGAATCAGTCTCTTCAGGGAGAGAAGCAGCTGTTCATGTAAGGGACCTTCATTTGTAAAGATCCCATTTGACAGGCCTTTCTGATAATATTCAGTGTGGAGATCAATTTTGGGAGCTACATCTATGTTACTCTTTACATGCTGGTGGAGGAAGCTTTGAAGCTGTGTGGGCTGGTAGATGTGAGGGCAGCTCATGCTGTGCTGGTCCTCCTGTCTTCACCCACCTGGCACAGCAGCTCTTCTGGCCGGGGACCCTGCACACAGCTCTGAAGTGCTCGACAGGAGACAGCACATGCTCCCTTACTGCTTTTCACAAATACAGCCAAGATTCATTCTGTGCATCCATACAGTTACTCTGCCAAGCCATAGCTCTTCAGGATGCCTGCTATTCAGATGGTGCATGTTTATTCGTAATGAAATCAGCTGCTTTAAAGTAATTTTGGCACAAATTAAGTGTTTGTGATACACACCATAAAAGAACTATAAAAAAAAGAATGGTATCAGAAGGGTAAAAAAAGAATAATTTTTTTCCATATGGGCAAGCAGGCCTATACACATATGTTCCCCATACAATAGCCATTATATCCCCACAACTGCTAATAGATGGGAACTAATTAGATACAGCAGCCTGTGCCAATGGTCTGGCAATGTGCTATCAACACACCACCCATTACTGTATCTTTTCCTCCTGGGAAATGCAAAGCATTATGCTCTGTGTACAGCTGTGCCCTATTTGTAATCTAAGCTTCTGGCCTGGCTCATCACCACCAATTAAACTCCCATTTTCTTCACAAGTTGTACATTTTCCAGATCAAACCCCATGTCTTAATCATGCAACAGACTGAGCTCAGAAATACGTCTGTGTACAGTGCTGGAAGTAAGGGCAAGGCAGAACTGAATTATATAGGTCCCTTAAGCCTCTGAGATAGTTGACAAACAGATATATTTAGATACACATTTAAAAGACGTATTATTGAAAAATAGATGCCCTTTGTCCCAGAAATCCTGCTGGGACTATCAGCAGGGGTGCTGCAGCTGCCAGGGAGCCATGGAAGAAGTTCTCAGAAGAACGCAGCGCAGGATGACAGTATTTCTGCAGGAACATACATCGGCCCATGGAATTTGGTAGGGAAATGACAGACATCATGGCACTGCTAATTAACAAAAAGTCAGTTACAGCAGTGAGTAAAAGGTTAGTGTTAAATGCACAGGGCTGCAGAGTAATTGATTTAAATTCCTGTAAGTTTCAGACCTAAACAAGTCTACAGAACAGTATCTCCACAGGACCATGGAAGTGATGGGCTTCATGAGGACTTGAAAGGTCATCTCCAGCAGCTCCCTGCTGCAAAAGCAGGACAGCTCTCCTTTTGCCCTTCTGAACACACCTCTGTCTAACCACAAGTGAATTTTGCACCTTGGATTTTTGCCAAAGAGAAGGGAGCTGAGACCATCCATCTCTTTCGCCTCACAACCCAGGGTCAGTACTACAGGCGCCAGGTCTGATGTGGTTAGGCAAAGAACGGCTTTCGAGGTGAATTCAGCAGTGGATGCAGCTGTACCGTGCATCTGCAAAGAGCTGTGCTGTGACACAGCCTCATCCCCTGCACACGTGAAATGGAGCATCCACCAGGGGAAACAGCAGAGAGACCACAGTTTCACAAGCATGCTTTCCACTCAAATCCACTGCTGAAATGTTCCTGACCCTTTGAGTCTCATCCTTAGCCTCTATTTTTCACTAGATCAAAAGACTGGTACCCAGAATACTGGGTTGTAATTTGCCTCTATCAATGAATCAGTGGAACTGATAACATACATTTAACATCAAATGTTGATGAATTTTTATAATGGCCTGGTAGAGTGAGTACTGTTATCCTTATGTTCCTGATGTGCCCTTGTTCAGGAGAGTCAGCAACAGACCCTGAAGGGGTACGGGGAGAGCACATAGATTTTTCCCGGATTTTTTTCTCTCTTCAGTTGAATTAAACTTTATTACTTCTTATTATATAATATCTTCAGTTAAATTAAACGTTATTACTTATTATGACATCATTCTTACTAAGACATATTTTAATCAAGACTTTTGATTACATATTTTCATACACTACAAAATTATTGTATAACACCACTTCTTGTATAGAAGTCCAGTGCTTAGATTCTCAAGAAATAGCTGGCATTGACAAAGTGTGTGTCTACATCTGCCTGCAGACAGTAAACTGTTGCCATTAGTTTTTTAGAAATCTATAAAAACATTTCTCTGAGTCTTGGCTATTCCACTCCCCCACCCTTTAACTTGATGTGGTGTTGCATCTTTAAACTGCAAAATCTAAGGTCTCTGTGCAGCCAAAGGACAGACTGTACCCGCTGACCTTTAACGGTAAGGAGAAGCTGCCCACACTGCAGCCCCCTCTGCACATCTCACCTCACACTGGTGATGCTCGATGGAACCTTTACCTGCCGAGTGTCTCATCTTTTCCATCCATAACAGCTACACAGATGTTTTTAGCTCCTCTAAAAGGAAAGAGGAAGCCAGAAATTTCGCAGCCTCTCAGTCCTGCCCCATGATGCTTCTTCCTGTCTGTGAATTTCCACCTGCCCCTCCTGCATATATAAGGCAGCACACGTGGGGTAGAACTGTTTAGTCGCCTGCCTCCATCCAAGGGATTAGTAGCAGTGGGGAGTGATGCTGTTTCTCCTTTGCTCTGCAGTTCATGGGAGGTGAAGGAGCTCTGGCTGGACTCGCTGCTTGGGTAAGTACTGCCTGGCATTAAATCTGTGGTGTTGTGGTCAAAGTTGTTGGAGCACTCCAGACGCAGCTGTACATAGATGTACAAAAATACAGACTAAGGAGAGGTGCGCCCACTGCTAAGTGCGGCTTGTGGGCAGAGCTGGCTGACTCGCTCAGCCTTATGTTTGCAGATTAACAACCATGCATAGCTGTCACCACTTGCTCATTTTTTGCATGGATTAGAACTGGAAAGCTTCTTTTTACCCCCTGTTTTAATGAAGAGGCAGATAGAGAAGCAGGGCTGAGTGCCTTCCAGAGAAGGGCTTCTTGCTGGTTCAGGATCATACTGAAATGCTAGACTGGCTTGCAGGGGAGAAAGACAAGAAAGGTGCAGTTTTACAAAGCTTTTTCTTTGTCTGTTCCGTGTTCAATAAACAGGCAAACAAAAGGACCAAAGGAAACCAGAGTGCCCAGAGCTCCCCCGATCAAACTCCTCATGAAAGTGCTAAGCAGCTGTAATACTGTGAGTGTCTTTATTGCTTCGGCTCTGTCAACAGAATGATTTTGAAAAGCTCTGATTTCTAAACCATAGCATTCAATTACTCACCTAGTGTCTTTGTTTTCTTTCCTAGTCAAAGACACTGAATGCTGGGAACATGGAGAGTCTGATTGAGTGCCAGTCAGAGGTAAGCAGCCGCTACGTTTGTTTCCCCCAATCCTTCTTGGGTACTGATGTGAGATATCTTAGCAAAGTGGGGGTGGCCCCTGTAGGAGCTTCTGGCTGCCTACCATTACCCATGAGCGGATAGGGTCCTTTGAAGGCAACTCTGTGCAGAAGGATCCAGGCATCACTGTGAGCAGCCAGTGTGTTCCCTAGCCTCCTGGGGAGCTTTGCTCAGGAACCTGGCAGGCTCTGAAGCCATCAAGGCTCCCTAGAGAAGTTTGGGACACAGAAGTGCAGGCTGTGTCCCGCTGTGGCTTCACTGGATTAAAAGATCAGCTTGAAAGAGCATGGGGTTGTGACCTGCTGGGCAGGTCTGGGGTGGCTGGCTGCAGGGTTACAAACCCCTTACCACAAATCCCTCTATTGGGCAGTGAGGCAATGTCACTCCTGGAGTGAGGCACCTCTCCAGCAGGTGTTGGGCTCACTCTGATTCTTCCCCAGAGCCTCTCACAGATTTCTGAGGAGCTGCAGCAACTCGCTGGTGGCCCTCGCTGCTGGTGGGAGCTCTGTAACCTTAACATACTTCTTGCAGGCTGATGCCAAGAAATGCCCCCCGCTGGTCCCAGCAGATACTGAAGATGGACTTTGCCACTCGGCTGGTGAGTTTTAAAAACAAACTGAGGAACTGCCTTCTTACATAATGCTTGCAAGCTGATGCTTCTGCAAAACCACCTGAAACTGCCCACTTCACCTCCCTGAGAGCAATCCACAGCCCTCAGCCCCATCCAGGAGACAGCTTAACCCCTGGCATGCCACTCACTTGCAGATGACTTCTTTCCCTTATGCTTAGTGGCAGAGGTGACAGCGCTGAGTGCCAGAGGTCTTGTGACCGTGTTCCCTAGTCCTCAGAGCCGTGTTTCATTCCTGGCAGTGATGGGAAGTAAATGTGCTCCTTTCTCGTTCGAGCATCACCACTGAGGTGTGGCACGGCAAGGGAGTACAGCTACCAGCGGTTACACGCCAGAGCAAATAAATCCTCTTGGCAGCAGCAACAGCACTTGTTTTCTCTTGCTGTGCAAAACCTCAGCACCTGTAAACAAACCAGGGGAGATAATCAACAGGGCATGGTCAGGTTTGGAGTAGATTATTGTATCAGATCATTTTTCAGGAGTATCAGAAGCAAACATTTTATATGTCACTATAATGTTAGGTGAGTTTCTCATAGCTTTTAACTCCTCCCTACCAAGGACTTGTGCTAAGCCACAAATACAGGTCCTGAGAACTTTCCATCTGTGTAAGACAACTTCATTTTGGAGTAGAAGGCAGGTCCTCTGTAGGAAATTTGCAGACAACTCCTTTAGAAAGCTTTCTAGCAAAAGAATCCTTCTCTCACTGTTTCTGAAAGGGAAAAAAAAAGCCACACCTCATGCCAATTCAATCATTATCTCCAACTTCCTAGCATGCTCTCCTCTTTAAGACGGAGATGCAAAACCCATGCTAAGAGATTTCTGATCCTGAAGCCAGTGAGACCGTACTGTGATGCTCCCATCCTCTGGAGCAAGTATCACCTTCCACTGGCTGGCTGGCAGGGCCCAAGCTCTAGCTGTAGGAGGACCACTGTCATTAGAGCTGGCTCCAAAACTGGCAGAGCTGGAGCCATGTGTTTTCCTTTCAGACTGTGAAAAAGGTGGAAAAGCAGGAGCTCCTAGTTCCACCCTTGCCCTAAGGCTGGGGCACAGTGAGATCACACAGTGAAAATTGTCATCGCCAGCTGCCCAAGTGACCTATCTGTCTTAGATAGTTATCACAGAAACCGCTGCAATATCAAAAATCTTTATAAATGCTGTTATTTCTTTGCCTTGTATGTTCTCACTTTCTAAGAAGAAAGAGTGACTAGAATGTTTAAAAAAAAACAGCCCAAAACAGGAAAGGTGGTGTCCTTAGAGGGACAGGCACAGTTTTACAGTTTAGGCAGTTGTTTCCTTAGTAACCACTTGTTGTCTTGTAGTTTCTCCCCATTGAATTTGCATTGTTTCGACATACGTCTCTGCACTGTGCACAGATGAAAGGCCACATAGCACTCTGGGTTTTTTTTTAATATTATTTTGCCTTCCTTTTGCTTGCAGCAGATGGAACAAAGAAAAGAAAGAAGGTGATGTCGCAGTCATTTACCCTGAGACGAAGCTCTACCAACAGGAATTCCTCAGGGCAACTAGACTTGGGTGCCAGAATCGCTCTGTTTGGCCAGCCTCTGGCACTTATCTGTGGGGAAGATGACACACTGCCCCAGCAGGTCCAGGTAAGCAAGCCTGGTGATACAGTTATCATACCTCTGGCTTCCAGTGTGAGGCAGGATCCCTGGTGCTTGTGCTGCAGCACCCAGGAGATTAGTGATTTTGGTGTTTCCCCTTCACACACACTTCTGAAAAGCTCAGGGCCCATCCCAGATGTAGAAAGGGTCAGATCTGCAGGTCCTGTCCAGCCCACCTCACTTTCACTGGAAGTAACTTTGAGTGGAGACAAGCCGGGACCAGGAATAGGAGAAAAAGATTTGCTCTTTAGTATAAACAACAGTGATTCTACAGAAGTCATTTAAATGAGTCTTTCAGCAACATAAACTTCCAAGGATTTCTGCATTTCCCTGAAAAAAGTGTTCAGCTATGGGCTGCCACTGACAAACATCTAAATACTGTCTTCTGGAGAAAAATGGTCTTGTGACAGCTCTCCAATTGAGGTGTTTTTTCCAATGGACAGGCTTTTGTCTCTTCTAAGCAAAATCTGCATGGCTTAGGAGGGAAGGGATGTGAACTAAAACTTAAGCCATCCCTTGAATCCTTCTGGAAGGAAGCAGGGGTGACTGCACTGAAGTTAATGGAATTCACCAGTCCAAAAAGAGGGTGGGTTGGGGGAAAATCAGGTGATTGCCCATATAATCTACTTGGAGCAAGAGCCAGATACTGACCTAATTAGAGTGCAGTGTACCTCCAGACAATTTTTCTTGTTTCTCAAGAAATGTTCACCTGCTAAAGCACCTTCCTTCATCTAAGTAACTGTTCTCACATTCCTGTCTGCTTTTTTTCCCCTGCAGGATCTCCTAGCTATATTGTATATGAAAGGACCTTCCACTGAAGGGATATTCAGAAAGGCTGCCAATGAGAAAGCACGCAAGGAGTTAAAAGAGGACCTAAACAAAGGCAGGAATGTTGATTTGAAAAGCAAATCTGTGCACCTGCTGGCAGTGGCCTTGAAGGTGAGTTCCTCTGACCTGCAGTGGTGGGAGGACGTTGCTAATCTGCATGGGTGCACTCCAGTGCCCAGAGCTGACCAAGGTGGAAATACAAACTAAAGCCAGAGCAAAGCCAGACAAAATGTTTCAGTCTTAGGAAAGTCTGGCATTTCCCCTTTCCACCTGATTTTGTGTCCCACTTGCTGCTGATTTCCTGCATGCCCATAGGATGCACTTACTCGCTTCCTTCTTCTCAGCATCCTCCCAGGGAGGAATACTGAGATTTATGGGTGAACGAAAAGCAGCTGAGAGCTGGGTCCTGTTATTACCCTAGTGCAAATATTGGCACATGCTTGTGCATTGCACTGCTCTGCCAGTGCTGATGGTCAGGTAGCTCAAGCCAACCTGCCTCCTATTAGAGCCATGTCACAGTGATGCTCCCTGTGTGCTCAGGGGTAGTGTCCGAAGCCTCATCTAAATCTCTTGGCCTTGCAGGACTTCCTTCGAAATATTCCCTCCAAACTCCTGTTGGCTGACCTCTATGAGTTGTGGATGCAAGCTCTGGAGAAGCCAACCCAGCAGGAAAAAATTGAAGAATTGAAAGAGTAAGTTTTGCAACCAGGAAGTTTTGCAACCAGCCCCAGTGTGATGAAGTGGCTGGTAGAGGCCAATGATGTCTCTTGAAATTAAGAGTCTCATTTAAAAACCCAGTATTTATACCAGCTTGCTATTGCTCCATGAGGTTTGGTTTAGAGGGCTCTAGCAGCAGCACTTCCTGAAGTTATTTGAGATTGCCTTGCAAAATGAGTAGCATAGGAAGAGGAGAGAGGCTGCAGTGTCTCAGCTGGTGCTGAGGGACAGGCACTGACTGGGAGCCTTCACATCTGCTGGTGGTGAAATTGGGCACACGGACACCACCTCTGCACTTTGCTCTTTAGAAAGAGCAGATGTGGAGGCTGACTGGTAGAGCTTTGAAAGCTGCACAGCACAACCACAGGCTTTCACGGGCCTTCAGGAAGCCTCCAGTGACATCTCCTGATGTCACCCCATCTACTTAAGGACATGGACTGCTGTAATGCTTGCCTTTCAGTCAAGATCTCCTCATTCAAGATCTTACAATTAACCACGTGCTCAGCTGCCATTGGGGATTTCTGAACAATGCATCTGTATAACAGGGGAAACAGCACACGCGTGCCTCTCTCTGGAAGAAGCATAATTTGCCTGAGTTTAATTGAGACTTGCTCAAATAAGGAAGTAAAGGCTGCTGCACCATGGATTAAAGTCACGTTTTGTTTGCGTTCATGCAGGGTGGCTGACAAACTGCCTAGGCCAAACCTTGTCTTGCTCAAGAACTTGCTGGCTTTGCTCCACCACATCAGCCAAAATGCCAAGACCAACAGGATGGACTCCAGCAACCTGGCCATCTGCGTTGGCCCAAATATGCTGAGCCCAGAGACAGACAATGCGCTCCCGCTGGAAGCGCAGAAGGAGATGAACGACAAGGTGTGTTGAATTCACCAAGCAGCTACCCACTTTGAGGCAGATCAGAGCCATCCATAGGGATCCCATCACCATTGCAAAAGCTGAACAAGACAGCACCCCTGGACATCAGGGGTCCCCCTCATCTCAGGTGCCCGCAATGTGATGGGAAGGCTGCCCCTCATCTTGCCTCCTTTGAGCAAAAGTAGTGGTTGCTCTGCAGCCCCCTACATTGTAGTACAGCTCCTGAATACCTTGCATACAGTGGGCAAGGGGCAGCTGGTGGCCATTGCCACCCACAGGCCTTCTGAACAGCGAGGCTGAAGCCATGGCTGATGGTGGTTTTTTTGCACTGGGGCAGATCAATTTATCTGCAGTATCAGGCCTCATCCTCCAGAGTGGACTCACCCTCTGACTTTAAGCTAGGATTTTGGCAGAAGCCACCCTGCTCTTTGCTGCCATTCATACAAAGGCAGCAGGCAGGAAAGACCGTTCAATATGTTTTCAGCCCTTTTGACTGAAATAAACTGTTTTCTGTGTGCAGGTGACAGTGTTGGTGGAGTTCCTCATAAACAACTGCTCAGAAATATTTGGGGAGGACATTGCCTTGCCTGTCTGTGCCCTGGCTGAGGAGTCACTGGAGTACACAGACAGCTCCACAGGTATGAGAACAGACTGGGGATGTGACAGACTAGGGCTGCTGGGCTAAGTTCTTCAATTTGATATGGGAATACATCTGTGGAATCACAGAGAGATGTAGAGGGCTCAAGACACTGTTGCAGTGCTCTTCTACAGGAACTCTTTCCATATAGTTCCCTTTCATCCTCAGATGGTCAGTGAAAACTAACAGATGCTTTCTTCCTGCAGAACACCTGTGTGCTGCTCATCAGAATGACTCTGCCTATGACAGCCCAGATCCTGAAGCTGAAGGCAGCCCCCGCACTTCTCAGATGGAGCAGCCCAAAGGGAGAAACACTAGTGTGAGCAGAAGACATCCAATATGCATCTCTGCCCAGTCACTGACTAATTTCAGAAATGACATCAGCACGATGGACAGGAGGTACTCAGAGCCAGACCTGTCCTTCCAGAACCGCCTTGAAGGCAGGATAAGGAAACAGAAGCTAAACAAAAGTGAGGACAATTTTCCAGTTCAGCAGAAACAGCTAGGGTTGGAGGCACTGGAGAGACGGCTTGCAATCTTACCTTCACAATTATCAACTGACTCTCTACCCAAAACATCCTCCAGTTGCTCCCTGGAGAGCTCTGATGGCTCAGTCTTCACCAACTCCCCAGTAGTTTCACCCTCTAGTCCCAAAAAAACCTTTTTAAATAGGCCCCAGTCCTTTTCCACCAAGGCCGCCGAAGACTGCAGTACATCTAGCAGAGAGATCAAAAGGCATTCCATGTCGTTCTCTTTTGCAAACCACAGGAAAACACTAATAAAAACCCAGAGTTGGGGGCCTGGAAAAAACATCTTTTTTCAGAGAGACAGTTTCATAAAGAAAGAAGATCAGTTCTCCAGCAGAGTTGTCCAGTTGAGCAGCCTTGATGATGACAAACCATTGCCTGTGGTGCATCAGCAAAGGCCCCGTTTCAGGTCAGCTGATGAAGTGTTCAGAGAGGTAGACCAGAGGAATCCCGGAAGGCCACCCTCTTATGAAGAGGCTACTAAAACCTGCCTGGCCACTAAAGGTTTCTCCCACAATCTCACAGTTCAAACTATGAGATTCAAGGTGTCAAACCAGGATGCTTTGCCACCTCATCCATGCAGCAGCTGTGCACAGGACACAGGATGTACGGCTCTAATGGACCTACCCAGTGGCAGAGTTTCTGCAACAAAGGATTCTGAAGTGGAAACTGAAACCCTCAGCATCACTGTGGGAATAAACTCCCGTGTGAGTTTACCCGTGACCCCGGGAGTCTATCGATTGAGAGCCATGTCTGAATCCTGTCAGAAGAACAAACTTGAGTATGTGGCTCGGAGGTGCAGCCAGCCAGTTTTTGAGGTAGACCAGATCCAGTATGCTAAGGAATCCTATGTTTAAAAAGCCTATCCCTCGTCTTTGCACTGTAAATATTGTAAAAATAGACATCTTGCTCATCCTTTGTAAGATTTTACTTTCAAGAGACCAAGAATAAGCTAGCTCTGCATGAACTGCTTTTTCCTTGAAGCTCTCTAAAGTGTCTGTCAGCTTGACATGTCACATTCTTTCACCACATGAGGTAGTGGTGGGGAAGACCTGTGTATTATTATGTAAAGATGTAAATGAATATGCTGTACATAACCTCTTGTGTGGGAAAACTAGTTATTAGTTAATAGTGTTGTATTTGTATCCCTGAAAGGACAATTAAAAGGTTGGCAGGTCCAAAACCTGTCTCACCTTCATTTTTTTTCTATATGGTCACAGATTCCATGCCATTTGTCACTTGTGTGTGCCAGGCTGATGCAATGCTGTGCTGATTTTCTGCATTAAGAAGTAGGCTGGCAGTTATCCCAACTGAGGAAGAGCCGTTCTGTATTTAAGGCCACTTCAGCACTCTTCCATAAACTCCCTGTACCTACTGCCATTCTCTCTTCCTGCTTGCTGGTGATGACAATGATCTGACCACAACCAGCATTAGTGTTGTACACTGAGCCTGGGTTTAGAGCCACTGAAAAGCCCTACTATGTCATTATGGGAAAGTATCAAGTAAACCTCATGTGGCCTGAGGTGCTTTTAATCTAAATAAACTGGACAGGAGAATCTTGTAATTGGAAGAGTATCTTCAGGTTTGCTTTCATGATGGGAAGGAAAAAAAAAAACAAACAAAAAAAAACCTCCTGTAAGGAAACATTCTAGATTCTAGCTTTAAATAGTTAAAACTGCAGCTCATTTTAAAAAAACCCACAACAACAACAACTAAAAAAAAAACCAAAACAACAACAAAACCCAAATCAGGCAGTGTCCTTATAACCTTGTAAAAGTGATTAGAAGTGCAATGTGTTTTTACATGTAGGAACTTGTTTTTATTAGCACTTACCTCCCCTTTTATGGCTCTGCATAGCCTTGAACCAGGAGCAGAGAGAGTTTTGTTTTCCTCCTGTGTCACTTCACTACAATAAAACATTTTTCTGCATGAATGCTAAACTCTCCGTTGTCTGTCTTTAAAACATCCAGGTCCTACATGTACCGCACCTGCTTTTTTACTATTCTGCAGGTACTACATGTCTGCTTGAACGATGTGGCATATGTAAGTAGCAGGAAGGAAAGTACCTGACCAGAAGTATCACTGCTATTGTTGTTGCAAGAAGCTGCAGGTTAGATTTTGGGAATAAATTCCTCTCTGTCAGGGAAACAAGTCACACTGCCATGTAACAGCAGTTATTCCTGGGGTGGAGAAGGAGCTGCAAAGAGGTGATGCTGCTCTGAAGGTGGAGCAGATTAGAAAATAACATACCAGCATCTCAAGTAGGTAGGTGTTCACAGGACACAGAGAAAGGGGAAGGAGAGTACCTGGCCCAACAGGAGAAATTATGTGAGGAGGACCGTACTGGTAAGCTGCAGCTAGAAAAAATGCCACCCCACTCAGCTCCCTAAGAAACAGCACTCTGCTGCGAAACAAGATGAATGAGAGGGCTCTGCAGCAAGCTTCAAAACGTGTTTGCCATCTTCTGGAATCTGCAAGTCCTGAGTCACAGAATCACAGGATAGGTGAGGCTTGAGACTCTCCTGTCCAAACCCCTGCTCAAGCAGGATCAGCTAGAGCAGGTTGCCCAGGACCATGTCTAGATGGCTTGTGAATACTTTTCACAGAGCGAGACTCTGCAGCCTCTCTGAGCAACCTGTTCCCATGTTTGACCACCTTCAGAGTAAAAAAGTATCTCCTTGCATTCAGATGCAATGTGTTTTAATTTGTGCCTACTGACTCTTGTTCTCATGGCAGAACGGGTGTGAAGAGGTAATCCATGTGCAGAGGAAAGGCGCAGAAGCCTCAGAATAGAAAACATGAGCTTCAAAATGTACTTAGACAACAACATGGCTACTTCTATGGCAAGTGACTCAATCTTTTGGACTGTGACTAGTCTAAGGATCCCAAGAAGAGGAACTGCTTATTTCCTGTGCTGTAACCACACCAGAAAATCCAGGGAGAATAAGCACGGTCACTTGACCAGAGATGAGGTGAGTCTATCTTTACGTCCAAGGTGTCCTAACACAGACATGACAGTCACACTCAGAAAGCTTACCTGGGCTCTAAATATTCAGTACGGATGAGCCTAAATCTTCCAGCTCCTGGATAAGAAAGTCTATTTGGAATTTATTATAAGGCACTTCAAGAGGGAGATGAGTGTAACAGAGAGGAGCTCTACACATTGTTAATAAACAAGGGGTAAGGTGAAGGAGTTGTATGAAAGAGTGGCCTTGGCCCCCTCACCTTGCTCTTGCATTTCTTCAAGTCCTGGAAACACCATGTTCAAACAAAATCTGAATGTAAACAGACCCTAAAAGAGATTTACTTCCTCATCACAGATAACTTTTGTCTTCCTCCATCTCTTGAAACCTGCCTGTCCAGTCAGCACTATTTTCATGTCACATCCCTTCACATAAGGGATTTCTTTTCTCTATAAGCACTTAGGAGGCCTCAAAAGACTAGAATGACACAAAAAGCAGAGAGCTTTGCTTTAGCACTTACTCACCTGCCTTCAGCTCAGAAAACTGTTATCATGCTACCAGCCCACTGCACCACATTCAAGTATCCAGCCCAACTATCCTGACCTCCAAGATAAGGTCCTTGAACTGCTATATACAAATGAATTACTTAAGTGCCTTTGTCAAAGCTGTCTGACTCCGTAGCCAGATAGATCAAATACCCATTTACAGCTGGCTCAGTTGGAGGTGGATTTTGCCACAAGAGCTGAATGATGGCAGCAAGCCTCCAATTTTTAACATACATGACATATAAGACTGAAAGAGGGAAAAAAGCAATATTACAGCAGAAAGTCCAAGCCATTGCTGTATAAGGCAACACTGGAATTAAGGTTATTGGTGCAGCCTGAATTCAGTTCCTTGTGTTTGCACCCTGCTGTTGTTTTCAGTCACATGTTGCGCTCTGTTCTTCCCCACGGGATGCACCTGCTCTGGGGAGGAACCAAAGTTGAGCAGCAAAGGAGAAAGTTTTAATTCTGCCATTCCCCTAGGTTGCCTAGCAGGGTTGGACATATGGCTATGTCTGAATTTCTAGGATTTGAAAGAGCCTATAGAAGATCAAAGGAGTTCCTCATGGAGCAAGCAACATGTTCCTCACCTTTCTTCCCTGTGTTGTGCACTGGGTAGTTACAAACTCTTGTTCTCTGCTATTTGAATTAGGACAGCAACTTACAGCAAAAGCACATTGTCATCAGCTTTATAGCCAAACATTAGTGAAGGCTGAGAGAAATACCATGACTGCAGATTTCACAAACATCTGGACTGGCACACAGGTGCAGACTGCACACACAGACACTCACATTTAGTTATAGGTATGCAAACGTTTATGTGAGCCTGTGTCTCATCTTCTACACAGTCTGCATTTGAGTACCTCTCTGGACTCCTGGAACTGAGTTGAGCGCAGGTGGAACACAGGTGCCTGAAAGTAGGTGTTTATAGTCACTTGGGTATCTTAGGGCACCTCGAAGAATTTTGTAAGTGATCAAAAGTGGATGCAGATCTGGATATTTAGGCAGTTGCATCCTTCCCTAAAACATTTTCTCACTGTGATTTGAGCTCAGACTCCCACCTCACACATTGATGTCACATGCAGATACCTTGAATGTAAGTCTTTATAATCTTAGGACTTACTGACAGCGAGAAACAATAGAAGTTGGGATTTTAGGCCCTATCTACGCCTTCAAAGGAAGCATTCTTGAGCAGGTATAGGCCTTCTTGCTTTTCCCCTCCAGAACTTGGGTCCCTCTGCTCCATCACACCACAGACAACCCTGACTGAGACCTTCCTCTTCTCCACTCATGACTCCTCATCTCTGCCCCATTTTCATCGGCTCCACATTCCTAGTCTGCATTGCTCACCTCATCCTGTTCTTTATCTTTTAACTGAACCAAACCAAATCTACCTCCGTGGACTTGCTGTCAAAGTCCCAATTTCTTTTCTGTCCTCTCCATCCCCAGACCCACTTCCCTCAGTCAGCCAGTTTGTTTTCCTCTTCCACTTCTTCCACATTTTTCCCTCATATCTGCACTGGTTATTATTACAATAAGCCCCATCAACACTTATTTAGTCACAGTTAGCCACACATACCCTCCTTGCTTTAGTCTCTGCATATGCAGAGAATCAGAATACAAGAAGGAAACATCTCTGCAAGCTACAGGAGAAAACACACAATTCATTAAGTCCAGTGATGACCTCAATTCACAGCTGTAACTATGAAAAACCTCTAGGATGAAACTCCAATGAACAAATGTCCTTGACTGTATGGTATTTCAGCAAGGGGTCTGCACATCTCTTGCTGTGCAGAAGTATGGGCTGTCAGCTAATTTGGAAAGATATTTGGAGATAAAGGTAAAATAACAAGTCAAAATAAGCCATTTTTCCTGGTGCCTCACCAAAGCAATTCACAAACTATGATGACAGGGATATTTCTGGTAATTTGCATAATTTCTCTAAGAAAAGGCATTATCAGTACAGTGTTTTTTGCTGCCTCTACATGCAAAGTCTTGAGGAAGAAGCTTTCTCATCCGTCTGACCTCCTCTGTGCTGTCATCTGAAGGGCATATCTTTCTGGGAACTGTAAAAGCTAAAGAGATCATTAATCCTTCACACTTCAGGAAGAACTACCGGCCACTTAACAGTGAGAACTGTTACTACCATGGACACCTTCTATAATATCTGCTGCAACATAGCCCAAGAAAGCTCTTCACTGGACATAGTCACAGAACAGAACCACTTCTGTATGTAAGATTTTTCTCCTGCATTTTCTTCCCGTGACTGCTACGTAGGACATAGTCACAGAACAGAACCACTTCTGTACATAAGATTTTTCTCCTGCATTTTCTTCCCATGACTGCTACATG